CACAGTTAAGTGTGAAATTAACACACTTGAGCTAAAAATAGAGGTAAAAATGTCAGGGAATTAACATTTTTCTCCAAAAATCTATTGAAAAAAAAATATTCAATGGTGTTCTGAATACAGTGGATAGTTTGAAGTAAATGCTAGGGATTGATTTTTGTTTATTTTCAGTAAAGAACAAACACGTGTTACTTTCAATTTAATATAGCTCTTATTGAGGCTTTTTTCCAGTAGTCAGGAGAATCTTAAATTAAAAGTAACTAGAGTATATAAAAGGATATTTCAGGGTGGGGGGAAGAAACTTTTATGTAGATAGTTTTCTGTGGTGGGAAGCTGTGTTCTTTGCTGTGGAAAGGTAGAATGGTGACTATAAAAATAAACTGATACTAGCCATTGACTTTGGAAATTTTCGTAAGCCCTATTCACTTGCTCAGTTTTCTTTTAAGTAAAGCTTGTTTGTGATTACTGTGTGTTTTAAACCTGTATGCTATTGTGAACTTTTTCAAGTAAAGTACTTTGCTTAAATTGGAGTTTAGTTCAATCTTAGTAACAAAAATAATAAAAATATATTAGAGTAAATTAGTCCAATCTGGCACTAACATGGATAGTACAATCACCCCTCATAGTTGTGATACATGTGCCTGTCTTTCTCTTTGCATCCTACAATTGTCAGAAATACATGAAAACTTGCGTACTGTATTAGATGTCCTAGGAGACAACAGCTTTTTAGAAACTGAATCTGATGTTACTCTTGGTAAGGGGTCAACTGGTAGCAGCCTTGCTTCTAATTTAGGGAAAACAGGAATGATGTGTGAAGATGTTTAAGAAATACCGCTTCTTACACTGGAAGTGGTGGTGGCCTACTAGAGCGTATCATGAGCAACTATGATGAGTGTGTCACTTGAGGAGCGTTGGAGAAAATGATCAAAGCAGCTTTTCAAGTGTTATGCAACATCAGATCAGTGGTTAGAACATGGCAAGCAGTTTGGTAAGTGGTATAACCTAAGTGGGTGTGTTTGTTTTAAGCCTCTCTTAGGCCACTGAGTAACATCTTTAACAGGCAGATGTGCAGTAGTCAATTCAGTGTATATGGAAAAAGGATGATCATCTTTTCTTGCTTTGGACTGGTAAGTACATTTTAGATAATTAATTTGGTATGTGTAGATACCTGTTGGGCTGTGAAAATAATAAATCAGTATTAGAAGCGTGCCAATCAGAAATTAAAGCTTCAAACTTTTGAGGCATTTTTTCCCCAAAATGCACTTTGACCTGGGGGAAGCAGCTCAAAGGGATCTGTATTTCCTAATAACAAGTGAGCAGATGTAGTGGACTTTAGCAGGTACATTCCAGGCATTGTAATCTACTGATTGATTATAGGTTTTTTTTAATACTATATGTCTTTTTCTATGTATTTGTATTTTATTGAAACACTTCCTACTTTCTTTTCACTGCTGTTCACATCCCCATGATTTTTTAATCCCTTCATTAGTACTTATAAGTGATTATCACCAGGTACCTCAGAGTCATATATAAATAAATAATACTAAAAAAAAAACCCCAAACAAACAAAAAAAAACCAACAAAAAAACCCAAAACAAAAAACCAAAACAAAACAAACCCCAAAACAGTGGCTGAAACTGAATTCCCAGCAGTTGGTCAATTTTTATTGCCTCCAGCTTTCTTTCACATCTTAGTGTTTTACCTAAAAAAAAAAAAAAGTCATGTTGAATATCTGTGAAGGTAGTTACCTATTGATCATAGTACGTCACCAGACTGGTGTGAATTTCAGAGATCCTTCTGTAAGTATGGAAATTTACTCCAGACGCACTAATAGCAATATTGTGCATTCTGACATTTAGAACAGTATGTCTTGTGGGAATTAGCCTTTCAGGCCGTGGCTTGGGTATAGGCTGGGATTCTACACATCTAATAAAAATTTTGAATAGCATCTAGAAGTAGGCAGTGAAGCCATGGTAGAGCAGAAAATAAGGATGTTGAGATCTGGAGGAATTTGCCCATAAAGAGAAGTGCTGCATTCTTTCCAAAGTAAGTGTAATAATTGTCCATATGAACAGAAGACTTTCTAGCTGATCTTCACTCGTGAAAGACAAGGGTCCAGATTGCTAACAGTTTACTGGAATATTTATACAACAACACTGAGTGAAATGAGGTAAAACACAGCTGGTGTACATGTAGTGAAGTATTAAAATCACTTTCATACTTTGTACTTTGCAAACTAGCCTGAATAGAATAATTTTTCTTGATCTTTGAAAAGTCCTTCCTTCTAGCCTGTGAGCAATCTTGGGAGCTGGAGGGAAAGAATTGTAATAGAATAACACTTTTCTTTTTCCCCTGCTGTTATTTCATTTAACTCAATGTTGGTAATGCATCACATCTCTTCATGTGGGAAATGGGCATATCAGTTTCTTGCTTTGTAAGGTGAAGTAGTAAAGCTAGCATTTGCCTCTCATCTTTACACTGTACAAAGTGTGGATGACAGTACTTATGAAGAAGATTTTGCAAATAGTAATATATTATCAAACAAACAGACGAAGCATACATTTCCAGATAACACATTGAAGTTGATCTTGATGTTAACCCATGCACAGCTTCTTAAGCTGTGAATATTAGGTGTTAGTAACTGGTAGAATTAGTACTCATGGATATGTGAAACATTCTTTGCTGGGTGTGTTTTTTTAATTTGTGTAGTTATGTTTAATGTTTAAATGTTGTTTCACATATATTAAATTACTTTTTTTTTTTTTCCCCAAAAAAAAATTTCTTTGAGGGTCTTAGAAACTGAGTTTAAGTATTGCAGTTTAAGAGCTTTCCACCTGAAATACAACATGCAGGCTGCTGCTGCATTCATTTCCACGTGTCTGTTTAATACTTGCATAATATTTGTAGCAACTAATCGTATTTTGTGTGCTGTAATTCAGGGCCTAGCTGTTGCTCTCTGGTCTGTTTGTCATACCCACTGTGCACAGAGGCCTGCAATATGTCTAAGAGCATCTGGTGCTCTTCAGCTGATGTTTGATATTGGCTTCTGTTGAATTTAGATCATCCCAGAGTTCATGCAATTCTGCTGAGTTTGTGTAAATGTCCTGGAAATACTTCATTTTTATTCAGGGTGAACTGATTTGGTGGTTTTAACTTTGATCGTTGATCGTTATGTACGCAATCAGACGACAGGATAGGTGATGGAAGTGCAAGTGTGCTTGGGTACTCCCCCTGCCCCGTTCCTGTCTCAGGAAAGGGATAGTCACCTGTGCAGCCTGTAGTTCTATATTAGGTGGGCTTTGTTTGTTGGGGTTTTTTAAATACTAAAAATACAGGAAAATAAGGCAAGTCAGTCTCTTTGTAAACTGTGCTTGCTTTCATCCAAATGTGCAAAATTACTTGAAGAAAACAGACTGTTAGTTGTGCCCCAGTGTATATTTTAAATATGATTTAAAGTGCTACCAAAAAGTAATGGCAAAGAAACTGGCTGATACAGTGCAAGGAAAATGCTTACTCTTCAAACTTGTAAATAATTTGAGAAGCCTCAAGTAAGGCTAGCTTGTTGCTTATTGTTAAGTATATGCATACCTTCTTACAAGATTGAGATTTCAATCTCTTTTATCAAAAAGGGTGATATTTAGAAAATCAGAAATGTGTGTCTTAAGCTTTCAGGAGTTGAAAGTTGAGAACCTTTATATCAAGGAGTTAGTTGTGGATATATGCAGATTAAAGAAGTAGACAAGAGCTCAACAGCTGACCTTCTTTTTCCATGGCTGTTTGGAGTTGACTACATAGTATGTAACCTGGAGTAATTGAGAATTATACTGATAACTTTAACATCTGTTACTCCATGTGTATAAATAGATGTGTTATTCACAAGGAGTGCATCTTCATACTTGAATATCTGTCCTGGATAAACAGTCATGTTCGGTGTTTTGCTATGGCTATAAACCTCTCCTGGATGTGTGTTTTACCTCTCAGGTACATGAAGCAAAGCCTTTCTTAAGGCATGTGTCAGAGCTAGTAGAGAACAGTTAAGAGGATACAGTAAGGGAGAAGTTCTGCCTGTGGGACCGATGTATCACTGCCGTTGCTGTTTTTCCAGTGAACCTGGTGTTTTGTCCCTGCTCTGCTACATGATATTGAAATTCCTGAAATCATCAGATGTGGTTCTCTCGTTACTGACAGCATGAAACCGTTGAAACAGTCTACAGAGGCTTTCAGAGAGACTGTAAAATAATCATTTCTGAATGCATACCTTCTTATCTGTAATGCTTATGAATTTTTGTTGTCTTACTATGGCAACTTAAATGTCATCGCTGTTTGATTGTCTTGTGAATTCATGTATTTTGCTATTTTCTACGCTATTATTAACATTTTTATGTCTTTTAATTCAGTCTTGTGCACATGTCCACACTTACTAGAACTTTACAGTTAAGTAAATCTGAGTTTGACTAAAAGGTCCTTTCCCATTTCAGGGAAAGATGGGGTTAAAAGCTGACTGTTCTAAACCTTTGAAATAAGTTTTCTGTTTTCTAGGTCATCTAATATTTAGAAGAACTCTGTCATCTAATTTAGGTGTAAAGTTTGCTTTGAATGCATTGTGTGTGTGAAAATTTGCCGTGTATCTCTTAAGTTGTTAACTACAACTAAACTTACGGTTTTGATACATTTTGCAACATTGCCACTTCAAATGAAAACAAAAAAAAAAATGTGCTGAACTTACTTTTTTTTTCTTGTATGTAAATTGAATGGAATTAGAAGTTGAACAAGCAGCCTTAAAAATAAAGGAACAAATAACATTTTGCAAATATTTAATTTTAGTAATTGCCAAATTATCTTATATTATACCTTTACATATGTGTGGGTTTTGCCTGACGGTAGCCTCCAGTCTGTGTCTATTTAATAGACAAACATTGAAAAATATTGTATAATTCATTTTTAATAAACACATTGTGTATCATTATTG